TCGGCGGAAGAAGAGGCGGAGGCCAGGCCAGGACCCTACATGCCTTTATTACAGACTACCAAGCATAAGTGAAATCCATCATCCAGTCACTAACTACACATCTACAGCACAGAGATCTGTCGAGAGGAGAATAAACAGTCATTAAATTATGAGATATGATTAAATCATCGACCAATAGAAAATTTATATAATAAAGCCAGAAAAAAGGTGTAAAATATAGTTTACAATAATTATTCACATTCAAGGCTGTACATCAATACATACAACACCATGGCCCCGAACATGAATTCAATCCAAATAATTCATATATTAGAATTTAAATAACACAGACTGAACTAGAGGCCAACAAGAGCCAGCAAATAACCTTATAAGAATAAAAATACAAAAGTGTGTATCTTATATCATTGCATTATTTGCTTCTGTTTTCACGAGTTCTTGGAGGAAGGGAGATTGTTTTGTGGTGTTTGTTGAGAGGGTTTGGGGTTGGGTTTTTTGTTTGCGTTTTTGGTTGGTTTTTCTTAGGTGGGTTTTTTTTTTCGTTTTTTTTTTCTTTTATCTGTACATCACAGTTACAGCTACAAACCAGGTAGAGAATATTACACACGTAACTGACTGCCACCAACCTGAAAACAGCTAGCATACAACTATCAAAACTGATTATGGTTCCTGGTTTCTATTTTTTTCTCTTTAGTCAGATACAGTAACTGTAAGTTCTGCTACAATTTAGAACATTTGCCACATCCAATCAGAGCTAGCACATGGTCATAGGAAGCTGTGTCAAATGGCAACCTTCTACATTCACTGCCATGCTGACAGGCAGACCAGGTCAGTGGGTGCTTCAGAACCTCTCTGTTTGCTGTACAAAAGTCGTATTTCTTCTAAGAAAGAGGAAACATTCTTAAATTCCCAGTCTTAACTGAAAGCATGCCATTTTGGGTCAGAGAATCTGTAAGCTCACTTGATCAACCGATGGACAATCTGTGTCATGAAGCTTTGCAGGAGCACTTCCATTTGATTAATAAAATATTTGCATAAAATATCACAGGCATTCAGCAAAATTTCAGATATAAATACCACACCTATTCGTGTAATTCACTAGTAGAAAGAATGATCAGAATCCACAGATCACATCTTTAGGCAACTATTAATACACAAGTTCTCTCCTCAGCAAGGTGTTGAAATCAAAGCTTTTGTCCACAGGCCAAATGAAGTAATTATGTTGACTTTACTAAATCATTCCAAAGAAACTGTTAAATGTACATGTGGGGGAATCCTCAGGATTCTTCAAAGTTCCCAGCACAAAATGTAATGATATCAAGCGCATTAATTTAAGCATCTTGAACTATAAAAATTAATTACAATTATCACATCTTTGTTTCAACCTACAGAGTTTTTTTCCGGGCTTATATATAGTGGATACTTCACAACTAAATCACATCAGAAGGAGAAAAGTAAGTGGAGCACAGTACTATCTGATAGTTTGATGTCTTCAGTATCTAAGTGCTTAGCAAATGAGACCTTAATGGGTGATGTTGGTCTGCTCACAACGTCTCAACATTACATCTGAAGCATGTCCTTCTGAATATAAATCCTTTTTAAAACTGGACTTTAAGGCCAATGGTAATAAACTCATCTCTCCAGTTTATCAGAGTAATTTTAAACTTCCTGTGACACTGAATAGACCAGTGTGTTTCAAAAATCCTTTCTAACAGTGGTACTTCATCCTTTCTTAAGCTCCACCCCACAGAAAACAGATGCAATAAATACCTTCCTGAAGTTCAAATCCCAAGCAAAACAAAATTACAGCACTACTGACTAAATGATTGACAGTTGTTCAAAACAAAAAAGATGGAATGAAGCAATCAACAGATTGGGTTTTCGGTAGGTTTGCAGTGAGGAGTCCTAAGAAGAGTCTTCAAGTGCCTAACAACCCTTTTTGTGCTTTGAAAGACCTTGGATAAAGAGCAGAGCAATTTATCTGCAGCTGTGAAGAACCTCCTTTGTCCAGTTCATTCCGTGAACTCCCCTGAGCCACAGGAGAGATCTTCAGGACAAAGATCTGAAGCTACCTCACTCCAGGCATAAGCATTTAAAACAGGAACCAGCCCTTCATAGTATGCAGCACCTGCCAATACACATTTAAGTGGACAAACTGGTGAAGCACACTTAAATCCACATGATTGCTTTGTCTTGCCTCACTCTATTCTTCTGCCATCTTTCAAAACCACAGATTTCACTTACAGTCCAAGACAGACAAATACCTCTCCCAGAAAAGTTCTAGTTCCTCCCCCAAAAAGCAGCAGCTAAGGAAGACTTGATTTGTAGCACTGAAGTTCTAAGGGGAGGGGGATGCCTGTAAGAGATGCTCACAGTTTTCTAGTGACAGCATTGTCAAAAGAGAATGCTGGAATGCAGACATCAGCCTTCCAGACACCTTCTTGATAGCTTACTGCTATCAAGATTTCTTTGGCTGAAAGCTTTAGGTGGGCAGGACAGAAGTCTACCGAGAGAGGATTTTCAAGGTGTGAAAAAACAGAGTAATTACTTTGTTATGGTAAAATAACTACAAGTCTAAGTATTACAGAAAGCACATTTAAGCATTCCTGGATTTCCACCTAGTGAACAGGCCAATGGAGATCACTCCATCTCCTAATGAAGCTAAGGCGTTCACTATTAGCAGAACAACTTTGCCAGACTTTTTATGTGAGGCCAAGTTTTGTCACACCAAAGAGCAGTGGCACGAATCTCCATCACTGCCAAATGCTGCTGCATGAAGTTGGGAATACATCTACATCTCTAAACCAAAGACTAAATCCAAAAGCAGTAGGGTTGCCTCCAGTGGACTCAGACAGCTGGAATCTGACAGCCAGAGAACAAATGGATAGCACTGCAACAAACTTACAATACACATCATCTTGGTTAGAATGGTAAATAGAGGATTAATACAGGCACGGATAGAAGGTGTACTGTGTTACTCAAATTTTAGTAACAAGGAGTGTACCTTGTATGTGATGAAATTTGTCATGATGTAAAGGGAATGGTGTTCTGTCTTTCACCTCAGCCGTTTTACAGAACACCTTAGCTCCCTTAAACACCAGGCACTAAGCCAGTGATTTACTTTTGTCAAGCCTGTGTACATGGTGGGATAACAGAAGACTACAAGAACGCAGTTCCTCCAAAAGAACAGACAACTGCACTCTGTCCTTTAAAGGCTGAAAGATACTGGAAAAGATGAACTGTCATCAAGTTCAACCACATAATACAGGTTTTAAGAGACCAATAATAAATCTCTCTTACCCTGTACAACAACAAAATATCCAACATCTTATTTTCTGAGAAATCCTGATAAGCCACTGCTTTTAAAATACTGCTTCTAGAACAGCAGCCCATGAGTTTTTTCAACATAGCAGTGGAACATTTCTGTCTTTGGTGGAAGGAAAAGCACATCATAGTACGAGACCTCAAAATGCAAAGAGATGGTATGTGTAGAAGGTGAATAAATAGGTGTGATGTTTATACTGCTTTTAAAACAAGGATGGAATGCCTTTGTCCAGACCTAGGTCATTCCTCTCTGCAAGTTTCAGGAACACGGGCATGTTGAACATACCATTAGGGAAGCTGGTTTTAGCACATAGAAAGTTATGTTTTTGCAACATCACAAGAAATGTTTGACCACAAAAAAGCCTTAATTTGAAGAGGATAAAGGAGATCGATATGAAAAATATTTTCATTTTATAGATATGCCTTAAGTACCATATAATTTAACCTTTGTATCAATATTTTCCTTTGAATTTTTAACCAGATTACTTTATGGATCTAGTATTTCAGTTTAATTTTTTTCAGAGTTGCTAAATATTTGGCCAAGGACCAAAATTATTTGTACATCTCATTATGCAATGAGACAAAAAAGTCAAGTAATCAATTGTACAAAGCTTTCACATTTTCTTCTCTACCCAGGTAAATAGGTTGGCCCCACTAAAATGCACAATACATGCACACCCTGGAAAGAAAGCTTCTAGCCCTCATCTCCTGAAAAGGTGAAAAACTATTTACTACTTCAATAGTAACCTTTATTCTCCCATACTAACTAGTTAATTTTTTAGTTAGCATTAGTTAAAAGCATGCTGTAAGTTTATTGTCCCTTGATTAAACACACATATGATTCATATTAAAATTTAAATTGAATGTTTAAAATCTTATCTGCTTCAGAAGCCAACATTTCAATTTTAGAAATCTTTCACTGCCATGTTCAGCATTTTACTCTCTCACAACCTGTATCATTGGAGCCTGTCTGCCAGACACATACATCTGATTCATTCACATAATTACTAAAGTACCACATAAATCCTGCAACCAGAACTATATTAGGAATTACACAAGGGTGCAACTGACCTGGCTACAAATGCCATATACCAATAAGCTGGGGGACTGTGAGGAAAGGAACAGAAAACAAAGAGGTGGTGCTTAGGAGAGGCATATAAAAGCTCCCTGATGAAATACAGTTTAATGATAATCTGAAAGTCACAGAAAACTCCAGCCCCATAAAACGCAAGGCTGGTACATGATTCGGCGTGTGTGCGTGTGGATTGGTTTTAACTCATCTTAAGTGAAGCTGGTAATGCAAGGTCTATCCACTAGTCTGCAGCAGAAATTGAGCTGAAGTGCACAAAAGCAAGATCTTCACTGCAATGATATGCATGTGGAAGCCTCAACAGAAGCACAAAGAGCGAGCAAAGCGACCCTGAATTCCATTAGGTTTTTGCTTTTCTTTTTTTCTTTCTTTAAAAAAAAAAACCAAAACCAGAACATTTCAGACATATGCTTCCCCTTGAGATGGTAATAGGTGGGTTGAAAAGATTCCTCTGATCGGCTGCACACGGAGTTCTAGCAGCAAGTAGGGAAACTGGGAAATTTTGGATGAGCTTTGCTATTTAGCAGCATTCTGGTGGTATCTGTGCCGCCAAACTTCATGTATCTTTTTGCACCATTTATGAGCATTCCCACTCGGGTCCATCAGGTAATATGTCCTGTTTGGCTATAAGTGAACAACATTTTAATGAGTACTCCAAACACAGTTTAACAAATAAGCAGTAATTATTCTGCACCTACTAATAAAATAATCATTCAGAATTAGTTCATAAACTTTCCAAAAGTTAACTTCAATTATGTAACATTATATATTACTGAATAACCATACATCTGACATTTCAATATTGTTAAGCAGTCAAGTCAACTGACAATGTATTATTGGTACACTCCTTGTGATCCGTTATATATAGAGATGGCTAAATTTTAAAAGTTCTTAAGAACTTCCTTCAAATCCCCAAATCCCCTTATAGTTTATTTACATATGAATAATAAAATAATACACTTGTATTTTTGTGGGAAACATGTATGTCAGGGTTTAATTAGTTTGTTGGTTTTTTGTTTGTTTGTTTTTTTTAAATTTGGGAGTTAGAGGTTGGGTTTTGAGTTTTGAGGGTTTCTGTGTGGTTTTTTTTTTTTTTTTTTAAATTACAGCTATCAACACTTGCATTTAAGGAATTATGCTTTCTCCAGAATAATTTGTTAGCAACTTACAATAATTGTTCAAGGATCTTAGTGCAACTTACAAAGAAATTAAAGTCACTTACTGTGTGAACAAAAAATGTCTTAAAGTTCTTGGCTTCTGGCCGCAACTCTAAAGACCATGGAATTTCTCCTTTTAGAACTTTGTTGACAGGATCCACATAATACAGGTGGGGCCCTTCTGTGAGCAGCAATTGGCGCCGTCGTGCAAACAATCCCTAACAAGAAAAGTAGAAGCAGCAATGCAAAAAAAAGTATGAGGAAAAGAAGCAAGTGTGTAGATCTCTGCATTTAGCACCAGAGGTAGAATTAAACCACCTCAGGGACAGGATAGTATGTTTGAGTTTGGGGGACTTTTTTTTGTTTTCTCTTGCTTTACCTATTTGACCTCACTCCTTTTTTAGGGGGTTGCAGTGCATTCCTACTACATGGCAAAACACAAGTACTATTTTAAGAAAACATCTTCAAGTTCTAACAAAACATAAAACAAGGAGCTGTACAGAGTGAAGTGAAATCTGTTTGTCAAAGATTCCAGCACAGAGATCAATACTCATGATTTTGTGGAGAAAATTTGGAACACATAGGTAGTAACTTAGATGAAAGAGAACCAGCATTCCTGTAAAGATGACACAGACTATTGTCACTCATCTGTACCATGTTAAACTTAATGCTTAAAGCTCTTCTAATGTCACCTCTGCCTCCCTCAGGATACAGGCACTACTCAAATCCAGGAAAAACACCACAGTTAAGGATAATATGGGCTTGCATTTTATTTTCCAATATTTGTGGTTCGATCCACATGCAGACATGCATCAAGACAAAGTGGGCTTTATCAGATTTACTGGGCTATATCAGACTGGGAGGAAGAGAGGGAATAAAAATTCGTTGACTACAGACTTGAAATTAAAGTATCAATAGTATATTTGTTTTTAGCCTTTTCAATAAAGATCAAGAGCACACCACTAAATTAAGAAAAATTCATCTGTTCACAAGAAAACACTACATTTTAAAAAATAAACAAAACAACTTGACACTTACAAATAAGTTAAACAAGGAAGTTCTAAAACAGGTTCCTTATCTATGCTGCAACTGTGCAAAAATTTGACAGCTGAATCATGTTACAGGGAATTAAGAAGAGCCCTTACCTTTCTTTTGTCCACTGGACCCATTTTTAGGATTAAGTTATTTTCTACAAACTGATGCCTTAAAAAAAAAAAAGAAAAATAACTATTACTCCAGAAGTAATTCTTCCACAGAAACAACTTATTATTATCATCATCAAGCAATTTTCCATGTCTCTCCCTAGTGTCTCCTTTTCCACCAAAGTCCTGAACAACTTCACTAAATAAGTTTTGGACTCTTCCTCATTCCAGCCAAAGAGTTTTTTCTAAAATGTGACAGGGGAAGAAAAAAAAAAAATCACAAATGAGAAACTCCTCTCAAGAGCGAAGAGAAATGTTAATAAGTACATGGTCTGGCGGTGTTTTGGTTAGGTATCAACATAATATTATCATTCAAACACATACACACACACACACACCTTAAGGCAACTGCAAGAAAGAAGGAACCTTTTCTAGGTCTAGGACTCTGTAGAGGGACAACTTCTCAGCACTGGTACAGCATCGTTTCTGCCTATCTTATATACATACTCCACAACATCATCTAGACATTGTAAATTTTAGAAACATATTAACATACTAGGTTTTCACTGCTATTGCTTTAAAAAAAACAAGTCAAGAAAAATCTAGTTGCTAGATGTTTGCTTGAAGATATTAACAAATATTAATCTGTATCAAAATAACTTATTTTTCTGGATTCCTTCCTGCTGTGCAAGACACAGATGAGCTATATTCAAAGATCTTACCAAGGATTTCCACCAGCTTGTTTTGCCAGAAGTAACCTCTTTTCATCTTCAGAAAACTGTAAGTCCAGCTCAAAGGAATTGTTGTCAAGATCATGAATATACTGTTCAATGTTTCCTCCTGATGTCTGTGGCGTACTTGTCTCTGGGGCAGACAGTGAATGAGAAGAGGCAGAACCAGAAACTTGCATGCAACCGAACTGACTCAGGAGATTGTCATACTAAAGGAGGAAACAAAATGAAGTAAAGAAATTTCTTTGATTAAAAAGCTTATTTCTCACTAAACTGTGGCTTTTAATTTAAGCATGCTTTTGCGCAAAATGACAGTCTACTCTCTATAGATCAACAGGCACTTAGCCGAAAAAGTATCCTTGGTCAAGAGGAAGCCAACCAGTATTTTTTCCAAACACTTTATCAGAAAAAAACATTGACTAGGTCAAATTTTAACCAGCAATTTTATATTAAAATCTTAATAACTGAGTCTTCATTAAAATATAACTTCTTAATAATTGAGTTTTCATTAAATTATAACTAATCAGTAGTTTCAATAAAAATATTTAATATCCAATAATTATGCTTTAATGAAAGTCTCAGGTAGCAGAGCTGAATATAGCAACAGACAACCATACGTTTCCGTAACAGTCTTCGTCATCCTCTGACATAGCAGGTAAATAAGCTGTAAGTTTTGGGGGTGTTTGAAGATGTAGGTTCTCCCACACAATGGATTCAAAGAAGGGGTGAGCCTTAAGAGGTCCATATCCTCCCATTTCTTCACAACCTAATCTGTTGGTAGCATCTAGAACCTGCGCAAATTATAATTAAGTTAATATGCATAAAATAATGACAAGGAAGGGTGAGCACCATTCACATTTGCACAGCAGCATGCAAAAAACTTAAAACCAGTTGGTCTCACTGCCCTAAGCGTACATACCTAGAACGTAAGGAGATTGTTTATAATACAATGTTATTTGTCAGCATGTCTTGTCAGCAACATTTTGTATTAGACCAGCTCAGATATCTACAGAAAGCAGCACTTCTTTGGGTCCACACAATTTTTTGGCTTGCTTTCTTCATAAAGACAGAAAAAAACCCATGCAAACATACAGAGGCCTGACGGAGCATAGCTCATTTAGGTATAGCCCAGCATCACGTTCTAGTGATGCAAGAAGCTGTGGAAGCCACAGCTGGTGTCAAACATGAACCTCTCAAACACCCTAAAACCACACAGTTCTCAGGATGTTGATGCAACCCAGACCTTACTATTCAGCAGGCACTGGCTTGGCCACAGAGCTGGCCTAGAGACAGAAACATGCTGCTAGGCCCTTTACAATGGTTGCACTCATCATCATCCACAAACATAAGACACAGTTTCCTCCTCATCCCCCATCCCATGCTAATATCCTAGACTATTGAACTTCAAAAGGCTTATACTGCCCAAAATGTTCTCTGCATATTCATTTTAATGTCATAGCTCTACCTTGCTGATGAGACAGAACTATTTTTTCTTCCTATCTATCAAACATTCACATGCAGAGTAATTCTTTGCTGATACTACTGAGACATGCATTAAGTGCAAGGTAAGTGCATGCTAAAATGCAGGGTAAGTTGATTTACAATGTAATGAATATATCTCCCCGTGATATATAGAACACTGTTTTCAACTAAACAATTCATTATATAACTCAACAAGAATTAATCGGAGTACTATGTAAACCTAAGCATTTGAATCTTAACTTCTGTGTAATGCACAGTATTTAGAACTATTTGCTTCCATTTCACTGAGAGACATTCCTTATCCATGCTTTAGAATTTAGATTTAAAAAATAATAATCTAAGTGCTGTTTAATAATGGATGTTGATTTTCAAGACACTCCCCTATGCAATCAATAATGCTCACAGTCATTCTTATATTATAAGGTTTGCAATAGAGTGCATAGAAACTTTAGGAAAAAAAGATGAATGTTTCCAATGTTATCAAATCATTTAACAGCAGCAAATATTTACCAATAGCTTTTCAACAAGGTCTTTTGCCTTGGGAAAAAATTTTTCTGGAAAGTCATATTCCAACTTTATTATCTTCTGGAATATAAGATATTCATTTCTGCAAAAGAGAAAAATATTAGCTCTTGTTATTAGTTCTCCATGGTTCTTTCACCTTAACAGCACATAACCTGGACAAATATTAAACGGGAGATCTACAAGTTAAGTCACATTCCCATAAATCTTTCTAGGGGGTAAAGGGGCACAGTCTTCCAAGTATCTATGATACTTGAACAATAACAAGAAAAGTTCAAATGGCTCAATATAGAGGTGCCTCATACCCTCTTCATGTAGGCATAGTTACCTTTATGGTATAAGCTACATGTGAAATCCTAGGATAAATGAAGGAATCTCTCTCAGGAACTCTAGTTATAGCTGTCTAAGCATCTTCATGGCATCAGAAAGGACAAATAAAAGCAGACATGACATTAACACGGACACTGCACCATAAAAAGTTGTATTTCAGAACTGGTAGTAAGGTAAAAGCCAAAACCAGGTCAATATATTTATGATCCACATGTAAAGAATTAGCTTAAATCTCTTACCCAGCTCTAAATGGAGGCAATCCAGCTACAAGTTGATATATTATACAACCCAGAGCCCAGAGGTCAGAGCTTCAAAAGAAAGAGGAAAAAAAACATATAGCATATTTTCTTCTAAGAAGTCTTTAAACTGTAATTTAAGAAAAATATTCTTAAGCCTTGCTAGTTAAAACATAGCATGAACACATCGGACAGACCTGCCTAGCATAATTTCCACACTATTTTCACCTCATTCCTTGACAGAAGAGTAGACAAGCAACACCACTTTCAAAAAAAAGTATACAGTAACCATCCCACAACAAGTGATTACAAGCACATGTGCAAGACAGCTGAATTTGTCAAAACAATTAATGGGTTCATAATGAGATTAAAAAGAATACTTATTATCTACTACCACAATTCAAAGATGCATCTGACTTAATGCAATATATGCTCCTTCAGAATTAAAATCCTTTCCTCTAAATATTTTATACAAAAAAGTCACAATACAGCTTTTTTACTTAAAGCTTTTCTCAAGAGACAAACAAAAAGGCAGGCTATACAGTACATGGGTGAGGGAAAGTCTTAAGTTTTAGTGTGTTGGCCTGAAAGAGTATTTTTAATTTATTTTACCCTGAGGTAAACTATACATAGATTTGATTGAAGCTTAGAAACCCCTATGGAAGACTAAAATACTAACAAAGACTCAAAACTACTCAAATTGAGAGTTTTCTGTAAAGATGAAGCATTATGTAACTTCTAAAAGGAGACGATGGCCTGATGAAGTCTTTCCATTAGCCAAACCACTCAAAACCTCCTTACCAGAAGCAAAAGTGGGAAGTCTAATGCTATTTCTTATCATCTTAAGAAACCCTAGCACAAATCACCACAGTCATTCATATAAGAGATCTCTTTTCCCTATGATTTCTCAGTGATTAGTTTGATTATTCTTCAATTGTTGTAATAAAATAAGATATATAACAATCTGTCGGTTACCATCAAGAACCAATTTAAATGAGGTAAGAAATTCCTCAAGAGTATCACATACCAGGCAGAGAGATGAGCTTTAAACCATTGCAAACCCCAAGCACAGTTTAGCAAAGATAACTGCAAGCTGATCTAAATACAAGTCAAAGCAAGCTGTAGCCTTTCCCTGAACTGACAGAATGTGACATTCTGTTGCTTTTACAGCAGAAATTACCATGTTAGAATAAGCCTATATAAAACAGAATTAAAATAATTATATTATTTGGTTAACAGAAAAAGTTTTCCTGATTTATTTTTGGGTAAGAGAAATCCAACTTCACATTACACACCTCCTCCCCCTGACAACACCTAATCCTGTCTGTAGAACCCCAGGAGGAAAATGAACTGAGAAAATCAGTACTCTGACAAGAAGCAATACTTGTTAAGAAAAAAGTATTTCAAACTCTCTTAAGAAAAACCCCTTTATACTCAAGCATCTTGTTCCTTTGAAATACTAAGCTTGCTTGTTTTTATTTACCCCTTTGCCCCTATTTGACAGTATACTGACAGAGCCAGTAAAGTTCTGAAATACAATAGAGTCCTCACCTTTTACAGGCAGATTTCTCTGTCAGCAGTTCTGGAGAAACATACTGCGCTGTCCCTACAAATGAGTTTGCCCGTGCTGGGAAGAAAATGGAAAGAAATAAGCAAATACATACTCATGGAGAAGCCAACCTCCGCCTCCCACCAACCCCATAAAACCACCCCAAAAGCAATCTACTGCAAATTATGTAACGCTACAACGAACCCACGAAAATTTCATTTCTCTACCCATCCACAAAACCTGCTTGGAAGAGATAAATCAATTAATCTCAGTGATATCTATTTGGTTCAAGAAGCTAGGCATTTAGGTACTATGTTAGGTATAAAATCTACCAACACAAGCTTACTACATTCAAGTAAAAAATTAAGTTTATCAAGTTCAGTTCAGCCTAGTACTTTTTTCAGGCATTGTTTGCAGCATCATTGATTCACAGGTTACTACTAAGCAACTAGTGACACAGAAATTCTATAACCTTCACATTTGAGCAACTCTGATAGTCACTGAGGTTAAATACACAAGCAGAGTAAAAACTTACTGTTTCAGCTGAGCCACAGGAACTATTTGTATTCTTGTCTTGCAAATAAAAAGCAATTTGAAGTAGTTTAACTTCCCACTACGTTTGGTGATCTAGCTGGCTATATCATGACACCAAATATTATCTCTTCTGGCATAATCCAAGCAGTGACAGTCAAAACAGTTTCAAGACCTCTCAGTGATTTTTGTTAGGTAAGAGGCAATGATACTTGAAGGTTACAATTTCATAAACACAACATACATACCTTTTCAAAAGGACCGCTTGCTACAGTTATCTGCATCACATGAAGTAAATAATGGCATACCTTGTCTGCTATCTGCAGATAATACTTTTGCCGTTCCGAAGTCTGTTATTTGAATGTGCATATCTTCATTTAGCAAGATGTTCTCTGGCTTAAGGTCCCTGGAAAAGGCAGATTTTAATTAGTGTGCTGTTCAAAAATAAAAGTTGCAAAACTGTCTAGTGACTTATGCACATAATTCTATCATAGATGATGCATTCTATAAACATTAATGTGTCAACTTCCCTCTAACTTGCAGCTGCCAACATGCAGACTGCTAACAGATTTTGAAAAGCCTATTAATTAACATTTTTAAGAAGACCTGAAGTAATGAATAATCTCAAAACTAAGCTATTATGCATATCACTTGTTAAAAAAAAAAGAAAAAAGAAAAAACCCAACAATCAAAAAACCCCAAACCCTTCACTTCCAAGCCCTAATTTAAATAACATCTGACAGGTTGATATGGAGTAAGATCTTCTAGACCAGTTTACTCAGTGCAAAACTCCAGTTAGTCAAACAACAGCAACTCTCTGCCCCCAGCTAAATCTCTACAACAGCTAAGAACTGTAAACCACCTCCACTCTTTAAGAATAGCATATTTGCAGTTGTCACATACAAATCCATGTATAATCTGTATTTCAGATGTATGCGTACCATTTGTACAGACTCTGCCTCTGATTGTGAATAAAACCAGTATCACACACACAATATACAGCAATACAGAGTTAGATGTCAAGAGGTTCATTAGCAACAACACAAAGAAATAGCATTGGGTTACACTGTTATGATATTATTTACTTTGCACCAAGGTTCCTCAGTGGACACGAAAAGACAACATACTTCCCTCCTAAGAAGTATCTTTGGATGCTCATAAAGAAATCTAGAAGCGTGGGAGTTATTTTGGTTAACTGGTAAGAAAAATCAGTGCAAATTCAAAGCTGTTTCCATTAACCACTGTGCAGCATGATTTTCCTCAGATTACAGCCCTCCTATTAATGAAAAGCATGGGTTGTGCAGTTGTACAGTTTAAAGTCTGTGGACTAGCACAGAGAGCAATTGGAATGAAGTAATTATGACACACGAGC